ACCCCGTAAGCCACACACTCACACACCAACCGGGACACACACATACACACCCCACTGTGTGTGTGTGTGTGTGTGTGTGTGTGTAGGACCTGTGCGGGCCGTATATCAAGGAGGAAATGTTGCCGACTGTAAGCAGCCAACACACCCCACCCCACCACACACGTGTGCACCGCAGATGTGTGTTTGTGTGTCCATGTCTGTCTGCAGATGGGGGCCCATCGGAATGAGCGTGGCAAACAAATAAAGAACATGAGAGACAAACTCAACGTACGCAACGCCCGTGATCAGTGGACAAATGTGTTTATGGCTATCTATCTGTGTGTGTGTGATGTGTTCAGAAGAAATCTGACTTCGTGGCTCTGGTTGGCAAGCTCGAGGCGCCCCCGAAGCGCTGGCTCGTGCCGCGCGCCGGAGCAGCCGTCTGCTGAGCACACACTACCTCTGACAGCCTAGTTAGCCCATTGCTGCTCTGTTCTTCAGCCGCTCCATGAGTTAGCTTTAGGAAAGGGGCAGTGATGGGATAACTGACGACTGCTGGCAGGGGGGTGTATGTGCACATGGGGGGTCAAGTGGCTGGCTGTGTGGGAGTGTTTGTCGTGACAGACTGTCTGTCTGTCTGTCTGATGGCCGGTTGGTATGCATACAGACAGACAGTGAGTGATATCAATGAGTGAATGGGATCACTCACCCACTCACAGCCATGGTCGGGTGAGGTGAGCTGAGGGGCTGCGTGATGGATTGCTGTGCACGGCCAAGCGAATGGATTCTATGCTGGACGGACGGACGGGTGGATGGATGGATGGACGGACGGATGATCTGACTGTTTGTGTTGTCGGGGTGTCCTCCTCCTCATAGGAAGAGCTGTACAGTGTCCATGAGAGTGGATGTGGTGATGTTTTTTGTTTCCCTCTCGCACTTCAGTTCACGTCACCCCACACACCACACCACACTACCTCTGACAGCCTAGTTAGCCCATTGCTGCTCTGTTCTTCAGCCGCTCCATGAGTTAGCTTTAGGAAAGGGGCAGTGATGGGATAACTGACGAGTGCTGGCAGGGCGGTGTATGTGCACATGGGGGGTCAAGTGGCTGGCTGTGTGGGAGTGTCCTGTCGATGCTGGCTGCGTGTGCGTGGGTCGATGGCATGGATGGATGGATGGACACAATGCATACATACATACGTGTGACGTGTGTGTGACGTGAATGGACACCAAAATCACGGGCACGCAGTGCGCTGGAGGCTGACTGGATGACCATACGCAGTGCGGAACCTCTCGGCGATCCTCTCCGCAAGTTCGCAGACGCCTCCATGTAAATGTGACGTCTCGCGAATGCTCGTTTGGAGATGACGCAGAGGCTGCCTCCGCCGCCGCCTTGGCGGCCGGATGGCATCCCAGGCATCCCGCCAGGGGTGCTTCCACCATACGAGAAGATGAAGGCATGCCGAAATCACTCCCATGACAAAGACCAGCAAGGTGGGCACGCACACACGGGGTGGGGTGGGTGCAGTGAAGTGCATGGAGTGTCCACTCCGTCTGTGTCAGCGTCTGCTCGCCCTCTGCCGGTTCCGATGGCTGCGTACGGACCCCCTCCAGGCCTAGTTGCTCCAGGTGAGAAGAATGGATGGATGGACAGCGAGATCTGTCTGCCACATGGCGTTGATATGGGCTGCAGGCATGCAACCTACGTTGCCGTTTGTGTGGTCGACGTACGGCGTAGCTCCTCATGCGCATCATGGGCCCGTTGCATCCGCGATAGCTGGTCAGACGGCGCCCCATGTGGCTGTTGGCGGCCAGGGTGACGCTCTCACTGGCCCTTCTCCGCGGCCCGTGCTGGCAAGATCGCACTCGGTGCGTACGCCAAGGGATGGAGAGCTTGGCTGAACGGGTGGTTGCTTCTGTGTGTGTGTGTGTGTTGGGGGCATGCAGGGCGCTGGTGGTGGCGGCTTGAAGCAGCTGGTGGACGCTGCAACACTTACAGACCCTATCCACCCTTACGCACAGGTAAGTACACCCACACGCCACACAACGCATCAGACACATGGATGGCATGTCGCTTGTGTGTGTGAGATGGCATCAGATGGCCATGGCTCCGCATGATGCCCAGTGGGTCGGCATCAAAACCGAGAAGGGGCAGGTGGTCGACCAGCCGCCCGCTGCAGCTGCAGCAGCAGGAGCGAGCGATGTCAAAATCGAGGTCAAGGTCAAAATCGAGGAGGAGGACGTAAGCACCCACGCACATAGACGACCATTCTGGACACACACGTCCGCTCATGTCTGTTTCTTGATGCAGGGATATGCATATGGTCAGGAGGGAGAAGAGGAGGAAGACGAAGAAGTAGTGGGAGAGGACGGAGAGGGAGAAGCAGGGGAGGGAAACGGGGAGATACAGGGGTATGGTGGTGGTGCGGGTAGCGTTGACGATGATTCAGTTGAAGAATTTGGTGTTGAAGACTTGGCACAGGTCCGTCCCTCCAATACGCATATATACGTATTTGCTGTGTCTCATCACGTTGGCGCCAAGTCCGCTGTGTATTCATTAATATATTGTGTGTGTGCAGGAGGGTGCTGATGATGGTCACGTCGAGGGTGGCACAGACCCGGTCAAGCTCGGCAGAGACCCCCAGCTACACTTGCACTACATCGACGCCCAGGGGCACAAAGCCAAGCCACGGCGTGAGTGAGACTCTCATTGGCTGCACTCACTACATGTCGACCTATCCATCCATTCATTCGTGGGCTCTCCTCTCCTCTCCTCTCCTTCTTTCAGGGTCGAACAATCCCCCGCCCGGCCGAGTGCACGAGCGTCTGTTTCGACTGCTGTCGTACTACATGAACGGCAGACACCCAGAGGTCGGCCCACATCCAACACATCACATCACATCACATGTGTGTGTGTGTGTGTGGATGCATGTGTGAATGCAGTATTGGGTCCATAGGTTGGGTGACGGTCAGGATCGTCTCTTTCCATTCAAGTGTCGTGGCGACTCGAAGCTGCAGGTGCCCAGCCCGCCCTCCCCCGGGACGGTCTGGCTCCATGTCGATGACACCATGTGAGGGAGTCAGTGAGTCAGTGGCGGCATGCGCGTATACGTATGTTGTCCATGTCTCTCTCTCCCTCTCTGTGTATGTGTAGGTGGCGGCACGGCAGACCACAGGCGGTGTGGGGTGGCCAACAGGGCAGCCCAGACATCCATGTAGACGTGACGGCGTTCTTCGGGAAGCTGTTCTTCGGCAGCACGGAGAGCGCGGTATCCAACAACGACACAGACACCCACAGACAGAGACACACCATCCGTCCGTCCGTCCGTCCCCTTTATTGTTTGGCTGTCCGTATGTGCGCACACAGGTGTTTTCGTTCCCCTTTGGCCATTCCGAAAGTGTGAGCGAGGTGACCACGAATCACCTCAACCACCACCTCGACCGCATCAAGGCCGGCCTCGAGCAGCTCAGCACTCAAATCCTCACGCCGTGTTTCATGTGAGCACACCGTCAATGCGCACGCACATACACACACATGTAATGTCACCCCTGTGCGTGTTGCGTGTGTGCACAGGTGGTTCGTAGCAGAGCCTGACGTCGCGCAAGAACTCCCCGACGCGGAGAAGCCGCATCGCCTGCTGGCGAACATCCACCACTCGGCATCCAGCTCATCTTCAGCATCGGCGTCTGCGGCAGAACTACCGCCGGCGTCGAGTGTCGCTCACATAGTATGTGCGCACCTCTACACAATTGATTGACATGAATGGATGGATGGATGGATGGATGGGTGCACAGAACAGACGTATGTGGGTATGAATGAATGCAGGTGAGCGTGTTTGAGACCTTCTTCGCCACTGAGGTGCTGCAGCAGCAGCCGCCCCCGTCCGAGTCCCAGGACGGCAGGAAGCTCGACAGGAAGCTGCTCACGGGCCTGCATCAGACGCGCAAGAGGAACAAAGCGACCGCTCTGAGGAGGAAGCGCCAGAAGCAGCAGGCAGGGGGAGGGGGAGGGGGCGGCCACCACGGACAGCGCCAAGTGAGGGCACGCACAGACGGACGGACGGCTACCGAATGGATAGAAGAGAGGGAGGGAGGCGGGACAGAATTTGAATAAATGCATATATGGGCGAGATAGGAGGGGGAATTGAGGAGAGGGAGGGAGGGAGAGACACACATCAATCACATGTTCGTATATTAATAGGTGGTGGATGCATGGATGGATGGATGGACCCTGATTGATGCATGTGAACGTGTGTGTGCGTGAATGAATCGGTTGAGCGCCTGTCGTTGGTTGTTCAAGAATTTCAAGAATACGTACGGAGAATGAGTGGATCTACATGTACACACGCACACGTGTGAAAGAAAGCCTTTCTGTGTGGATGCATGGATATGTGTGTGATGTGTGCGTGGCTGTATGGATCCACCAATACTCTCAAATGGTGAATGAGTCCACTCATGAATGAGAATATTTTCAATCATTCAGAACAAACAATTGTCATCCACACCTCACCGAAAAGGTCAGCTCCCCCCGCCTCCCTCCCCCCACCCCACACACACTCACTCACTCGGTGCCTAGCGCCACGAACAGCCGTGTGGTCTCGTCGATGTGACCCAGCTGCCGCCATTCGAACACGCAGTCGTCAGCCAGGTGGAGCCCTTGACCACACCCGTCGTCACACCATTGCTGGCCGCCTCGCCCAGCCGGGCTTTGTGGACCACCTCACGCACGCCCAGCAGCCGATGCTGCCCACCCTGCTGACCCCTGACGGCGAAGCACCGCAGCGGCACACGCACCATGACGCCGCCCACGTTGGCCATGTCGCCGATGACCTCCCTGTTGCTGGGTGTCCGTGTGGCGGCCGAAATGACGAAGTGCGCCACGGCCGCCTTGACGCGGCGCCTCAGCGTCGAGTCGCCGATGAGATACTCGTCGATGGCCGCTGCTGCAGCGGATGGCTCGTGCAGGAAGGCGCCGATCTTCCAGCCGATGGCCTCTGCCTCGTGTGGTCCGAATGAGAGGGGGGAGGGGGCGGGGTCTCTGCCGTCGT